CTACTGCTTACTGCTACTGCTACTACTACTACTACTACTAGTACTATTACCACTACGACTACTACTACTACTACTACTACTACTACTACTACTTCTTCTGCTACCACTACTACTGCTGCTACCACTACTACTGCTGCTACTGCTGCTGCTACTACTACTACTACTACTACTACTACTACTACTAGTACTACTACCACTACGACTACTGCTACTACTACTACTACTACTACTACTACTGCTACCACTACTACTGCTGCTACTGCTGCTGCTACTACTACTACTACTACTACTACTACTAGTACTACCACTACGACGACTACTGCTGCTACTACTACTACTACCACTACGACTACTACTACTACTACTACTCCTACTACTACTACGACGCTCGCTGACTCTCTCGACTCTTTGGAGGGCTGACAAAAGGATTCCAAGTGTTGTTTTAGGAACAGGGACGGGATGATTATGGCGTTTTCGGGATCGTTTTCAGTTGAGTGGGGGTTCAATGCCTCTGGGGGCTGTGCAGGGTTGGGGGCCCTCTGGATCTTCGGATATCTACTGTAGCCTCGGTGGGTTTGAGCGGTAGGAAGGTTTTGCTGATTTTTAGAACCGTGCAGAACCGAATGTGTGGCTGTTCTAAATCAACGAATCCCTAAACCCTAAACACCTAAACCCTAAACCCTAAACCCCTAAACCCCTAAACCCTAAACCTGTAAAGCCCGGGCTTGGGGTGGTTCCGGGTAGACCCATAATCCCCAAAACAACCTAGAACCCTGATTCTGCCATAGGCCCCATAGTAGTTCCTTTGTGTGGTTGGTATTTAGGCTCCTATGAGGTAATCCCAAAAAGGAAGTACTATGGGGGCCACCCCTAAGCTGTAAGTAAACCCTAAGCCCTAATATAGGGGCCTCAATAATTACCAATACTATTTTGGGGGCTCCTTGATTTAACTCTAGTATGTTATGCACCAAAACCCTATTCTTATGATTAAGGCCCGTACCTTTAAGTAAAGCCTAAACCCTACCCTGAGCCCCAAGCTCATGCTGTAATCCCAAGCATCCTGAAACCTCGAGCCACTTTGTGGCCAGGTTTTCGGCCAAGCACTGACCATGAAGACCCTGGAGGAATCGTCTTTCCACTGCTTAGGGTTTACAGTAGGGGTTATGTTTTATTTAAGAGACATGGCGCCCGACGCCTAATTTCTCAGGGCCGGACGCACTGAAGCCAAATCCCTCCGGAAGCCTTGCCGTAAGGTTCTGAAGAGGCGGGGAGAACGACTGTACTTCTCTTTGACAGTTCAGCTAACACTCGTGAGCCTTTTCGCTCCTGACACCATCCGTATCGAGAAACCCGAATGGTGGAATACTGCCATCTCCCGACCGTAAGTACGGCCTGTCGAAATGGAACCCCGAGAACACTCTACAATGGCGCCTGTGTCTCAGGGAGTAGTTCCAATTTACCTAGCCCAAGAATTAAGAACCTCCAATACCCGAAGGTAGATAAAGACACAACAACCCCTGAAAGACCCGAACCCCCGATATCCCAATTTTGTTCAGAATTTGCATGGCATCCAACAGAAATAGTGCGAACCACTGAGACAATAATAAGAATGGACGTGTCTGAATATCAATAGTTGGTGATGGTCGTGGTGGTGGTGGTGGTGGTGGTGGTGGTGGTGGCGGTGGTGGTGGTGGTGGTAGCAGCAGTAGTAGTCGTAGTAGTAGTAGTAGCAGTAGTAGTAGTAGTAGTAGTAGCAGTAGCAGCAGCAGTAGCAGTGGCAGTAGCAGTGGTAGTAGAAGTAGTAGAAGTAGTAGTAGTAGTAGTAGTAGTAGTAGTAGTAGCAGTAGCAGTAGCAGTAGTAGTGCTAGTGGTGGTAGTAGTAGTAGTAGTAGTAGTAGTAGTAGTAGTAGTAGTACT